GGGTCCCTAGGGGTCTATGGGGGTCCCTAGGGGTCTATAGGGGTCTCTATGGGGGTCTATAGGGTCTCTATAGGGTCTCTATAGGGGGTTTATAGGGTCTGTACAGGTCTCTAGAGAGATCTATAGGGGTCCATAGGGGCCTATAGGTGTCTATTGGGTGGCTGTAGGGGTCTATAGGGATCCATAAGGGTCTATAGGGTCTCTATAGGGGCCCATAGGGGTCTATAAGGTCTCTATAGAGAACTATAGGGGTCTATAGGGATCCATAGGGTCTCTATAGGGGTCTATAGGAGATCTATAAGGGGTCCATAGGGGCCTATAGGGGTCTATTGGGTGTCTGTAGGGGCCTATAGGGCTCCATAAGGTGTCTATAGGGGTCCATAGGGTCTCTATAGGGGTCTGTAGGGTGTTACGGGTCTCTGTAGGGGCCGTGAGGGTCGCTATAGGGCGCTATAGGTCACTGCGAGGTGTCACGGGTCCCTGCAGCTCAGCAGAGCCACTGTAGGGTGCCGCAGAGGGCGTTACAACAGTGCTGTGGGGTGCTGGGCTCTGCCGTAGGGCGCTATAGGGTCTCTATAGGGTCTCTATAGGGCTCCATAGGGCGCCCGTGGCCACGCCCCCTCCCCATAGGCCACGCCCCCACCGCAAAGCCGCGCGAGGAAGGGGCGGAGCCTCGCTGAGGGCGCGGCCAATCAGACGCCGGCGCGCGGGGATGGGAGGGGGGCGCGGAGCGCGTGCGCCGTGAGGAGACCGCCCCCTAGCGGCCGTGCAGAAAGGAAAAGGGCGGGAAAGCGCTGAGGGGAGAGGGGGGGGCGAGGGAGGAAGAGAGACCTCGGGACCCCAAAAACCTCCCTCGAGACCCCCCAAAACCTCCCTCAGAACCCTCCTGGACCTGTGTAGGCAGCTCTCCAGTGGTGGGTGAGCCCCTGGCTCTGCGGTCTGGTCATGAGGGGCTTCTCTCAATCCCTTCCCCTCACGCTGAGGGTCCCGACATGGCGGGGGTCCCCATTTCCCTCACCCTCATCCCACCATGGGCATCTCCACCGTGGCAGATCCCCAAAATCTCCCTCAGGACCTTCCTGGACCTGTGCAGGCGGCTCTCCAGTGGTGGGTGAGCCCCTGGCTCTGCTCATGAGGGGCTCCCCTCACTCCTCACGCTGAGGGTCCCGACATGGCGGGGGTCCCCATTTCCCTCACCCACCGTGGCCATCTCCACCCGCTGTCCCCACCGTGTCCCTTTTCCGTCCCCGCTGCCGTCGCGGTCACCCGAGCGTGGCCCCGGACTGGAAGCAGCTGCTGGCCGGGTGATTAACAGCCTTCATTAGCGCGTGGCCGCGGGGGCAGCGGCGCGTGGCCCGGCGCTGTCCCCAGGCTGTCCCCAAGCTGTCACCTGGCCCTGTCCCTGGCTCAGTGCCCTCACCTGTCCCTGTCCCCAAGCTGTCACCTGGCCCTGTCCCTGGCTCAGTGCCCTCACCTGTCCCTGTCCCGCTGCCGGTACCTGGGCCACCCCCTGGCCCTGTCCCCAGCTGCCACCTGGCCTGAGGCACCCACCTGTCCCTGTTCCCCCAGCTGGCCGTGTCCCCATGCCCTGAAGTGTCCCCGTCCCTCTGGCCACCATAACCCCCTGTAGCTGCCCCCCAGTGTCCCCAAAACCTGCCACAGTGTCCCCAAAACTGCCCCCCAGTGTCCCCAAAACCTGCCCCACAGCTCCCAAAACCTGCCCCAGTGTCCCCAAAACTGCCCCCCAGTGTCCCCAAAACCTGCCCCACAGCTCCCAAAACCTGCCCCAGTGTCCCCAAAACTGCCCCCCAGTGTCCCCAAAACCTGCCCCACAGCTCCCAAA